CCGATGCGGGACTCGATCCCGGGACTCCAGGATCATGACCTGAGCCGAAGGCAGTCGCTTAACCAACTGAGCCACCCAGGCGCCCGAAATCTAACTCTTATTAAGAGATGATGACATCTGGCCTAGGGTAGCTGCTTCTCAAAAGCAGGTAATATTCTCCACTGCAGGAGTGACTCACACTGCCTTCTCTTCAACGAGTGAATGATTGCATTTGCACGTGTTAACCGTGAAAATCCTTTTAGTTCCAATAGTTCAAATACAACAGCACCTGGATCTATAGTTTTGTTCTCCCAGCAAGCTTTTTCATCCTCCTTCTGGTTTCTACCTCCTGCTTTGCTCTCCTTTTGGGGGGATATTTCTCCCGCTTAACAGGAGGCCTTAGGAGAGGCATTCAAGGACAAGATGAGTCCATGATCCAGTCCTAGCCAATCAGAGTGTGCCATCTCCAGAGTGAAAGCGATTAGTTTAGCCCAAGCCATGTGACCCAAGCAGGATCAATCCAAATCTTCCCTGGGACTTTTCAGCTGGGCCAAAATGCAAAACTGCTTTTTACAAAGCTTTTTTAAAAAAAGGAATTTTAAACATATGCTAAAGTGGTGAGAATCATATATGAGCTCCTTGGAACTCAACACCCAGCTTCGACATTTATCAACCAAAGGGAAATCTAGAGAAGGATAAACTGTCTTTTTCTACTGGGGATGTTGCACCCTGGAGAATGGTGCTGCCAACAGCCATCCTATCCGTTGGTGGAGTGAGTCTGACTCCAAAAGAAACCCAAACAGCAACGTGGAATTATAGCAGAGCCTTGAAGGCTACATTTGAGCTCCTTAATCCAGCTGAGCCTGAAGCCGAAGCTACCCCTGTACTTTCTTCCTGCATAACCAGATCAAGGAGAGTTTCTGGTTCTTGCAAAATGTGGCATCTAAGATGAAAACCTTAAAGAAATACTCATTAAATATTTTCTAACACCTTGTGTTTATTTTTGAGGTATCTGGGGAAAAAAATTCATGGGAAATCTTTAAGAGGACTAAAGGGAAAGGAGCACTTTAGATATATTAAAATGAGATCATCAGGGGGCGCCTGGGTGGCTCAGTCGGTTAAGCATTTGCCTTTGGCTCAGGTCATGATCCTGGGGTCTTGGGATCAAGTCCCGCATTGGGCTCCTTACTCAGTGGGGAGCCTGCCTCTCCCTCTGCCTGCCACTCCCCCTGCTTGTGCTCTCTCTCTCTCTGAGATAAATAAAATCTTAAAAAAAAAACAAACAAAAAAACCAAATGAGATCATCAGCCCTTTAACTTCACTCTGCCCAAAGGATAATGTCAGTCCCACTGTAATAACAGCCATCTACTAAAAAATTAAACTATGTAACATAGACATCATGAAGGGCTGTAACAATGGGTGGATATTTTCACCCTTAAATAAAAAAAAAAAACAACCTCATACACAAAATAATCAAGGCCTCAAACCCATTCAGAGTCTCTGATTCTGAATTATCTTCAAAGCAAGGAATGAATGGATACAATCACTCCTGAGCATTCAGGTAAGCCATTCTTGGGTATGTAATGAACTCTTTTCCTGGCTGTTCCTTCACCATCCACAATACTTACACTTTTGCTTTGCTAGTTCTTGTATTAGATCTTCATACACTTGTGAAAAGAGATCCTCTTCTGATTTTGTTCCATCTAGGTAAACTGAAAAGGAGAAAGGAGAGCGGTTCAAATGCCAATGGGCCTATTAGTAGAGGATTCTTACTCTGGCATCTGACATCTCTTAAGAATACTAGTAAGTTTAGGGGCGCCTGGGTGTGTCAGTCAGTTAAGCATCTGATTCTGGATTTCGGCTCAGGTCATGATCTCAGGGTGGTGAAATCAAGCCCTGCGCTGGATTCTGCCCTGGGTGTGGAGCCTGCTTAAGAGTCTCTCTCTCTTGGGCGCCTGGGTGGCTCAGTTGGTTAAGCGACTGCCTTCGGCTCAGGTCATGATCCTGGAGTCCTGGGATCGAGTCCCGGATCGGGCTCCCTGCTCGGCAGGGAGTCTGCTTCTCCCTCTGACCCTCCTCCCTCTCATGCTGTCTCTCATTCTCTCTCTCTCAAATAAATAAATAAAATC